GACCTCTTTGTTTACACGTACGCTTTGCTTACTCATTTCTCCATCTCGTCTTTCTTTATCCACCTTTTACATTTACTTCCGGTATTTGCTAGTCTTTACCTCAAGCCACCCGATTTTTCCTATATAAACTAGAACCTTATTTTCCCTCACCTCAGTCGTTCACATCCGTGTCTGACTGAGGTGAGCTTTTGCTACTTATATTCATATACTCTTACTGATGCTACTCGTACGTAGTTCTTCGTACGTTAACAGGTAGCTAAGGCAATACAGTCGTTTCACATCCGTGTCTGACTGAGTTCTTCGTACGTTAACAATTCTATTGTCCCTCTGGAAGAGTGGCAGACACAACGAAGGGCATACATTCGTAGTTGAAAAACCCGCTCGGGATTGGGTGATGGATTGGTCGCTTTGATCTTTGCCGTTGACGAAGCTGTGGAGGTGGAAGTGGAGCAGAGCTTCGTAATTGCCGAGTAGCTGCGGGTAAGCATCGCGTCTGTTTGTTTGGCGGGCAAGGAAGATATCGAGGGCACCCAGGTCAGAAAAGAGAAGGATGTGGGGTGTGTCAAGGACGACAACAGTCCATCGACTGCTTGAGGAATTGTTGATATTGAAGCCAATGTGAAAAGAGCGTGAGCGAGATAGGTCGATGTAAGTGTCAAGAGAGTTATATCCGTTGGTAGTGGTGAGGGGAGTGGTATTGATAGCAGATGACATCGGTGGTCATTCGAGGTGGGCGTCGTAACATTCAAGAAACCACATATTCGTGGGTGCATAGATTCTAACGCAGTTAATGCACAACCGTGCTACACAGACGTTAGATGTTGGATGAACATCAAGAGTTCGAACTCACCATATCTAGAGTAACCAACTTGCCTAAGACACTCACTGCCGCCCTTTCCACGTCCATATCCTGCAGGCATATCCTACGCAAGACGCACAAATTCTCTTCCGCCGTCAAGGCAGACGACTCGGCGTTGGACAGCGTGGTTTTTGAGAAGTTGGATAGGGACTTCTTCCAGCCAGAACGGACAACGTTAGAAAGCTCTTGTGACGCCGAATTGACAGACCGCATTGCTGAAATCCGAAGGTCATCTTCGGTTATCACCTCCGGAGCAGCCTTTTGCTTTCCCTTGGAGCCTGAAATGGTTAAATTTGTGGCCAATGCATCGGCGAGGTCTTCAGCCACCTGTTTTCCTGCTTTTGATACAGAACGGCTCGACAATGGCCGACGACGCTCCTTTGTTGCCATCCTGCACAGAATTCCTCGATGCTATGCAATAGTGGGCCGCGCGTCGTGGGCGGGAAAAAAGTTGGAGAGCGCAGAGGAAGAGTTTGAACGTGGGGGTTTGAATTATCACAACCAATTCACGGTCACATGATCACGTGTTTCCCTTTCAATTTGGAATCACCAATGAATCAATTATCACTAGGTATTAAGTACTTAAGAATCTTCTGTCTTAATGCCACCATCACAAGTGCCATGGCCAGCATCGAACGCCAGAAATAGGAACAACCACAAGAAAACATCTGGACTTACGGAATTGGCTGCAGTGGAACTGAGGATGGCCTACCAGTCACTCACGAGCAGTACTTTACAGTGCCCCACCTATTCCTGCAGGAATGGGGTCATTCCAGTGGAATTCCAGGGGAATCCTGCAGGAATAGAGTCATTCCAGTGGAATCCACAGCATTCCACTGGAATTCCACTGGAATAGGACTGGAATCAAGCAGAGTAAGGGTCTGTCCGGCAACGAGAATCCATTTTCATTCTCATTTTCATCTTCATTTGATGGCTGACAAATTGGGTCACACACCAAATTGGGCAACAACGATAACTGGGCTCCTTGCCCAACCCACATTCCGTTGTTATATTTTCTATGTACAACACAGTAAGTTTCTACTGTCAGCTATAGCATGTATTTCTTTTCAATTTTTATTTTGCAAAAATCATGCATATTTACTTTATTCATGTAAATTACATACAACCAATCTGTATTTAAAATACCTACTTGTTGGTTTTACACCCATAGGCTGCTGTAATACCTATAATAAAGCCTATGGCATAACTTGGTGGGTAAGGAACAGAAAAATTTGCTCCCCATAAGCACATATTTATTAAATGTAGTTGGAATGTAGTCAGGTTTCTGTTGCTGTCC